ATTATATTTTATAAGGACAGCTAATAAGAAAAGGCTTGGAAGTTTCCTTTTATAGAATTTTTAAAGGGCTAACATCCCTAAATTCAAAGTGTCCACCAGGTAGTTCACTTATTATTTAGTACAACTATATAAATAATGGATTGTCCAATTACTGTAGATACAGTCATAAAGTTACTCATTAGTTCAAAAATGTTAGTTATCTCCTGCTGCATGAGCTCTTTGTTCAAATAAAGATAACTTCCTCCACATATGATTTTATTTTTCCTTACTATATGTTTTTTTTTTTCAAAACTTATCTCAGCCCATCCATGTCCTTCATTTTTTTCAAAACATGGCTCTAATCTACAGAATACTTCATATACCGCCTAGGGGTATCCTCCCCTCAACTCACACATGGATCCCTCTGAAACTTGAAACTCCAGATTGAAGGCACTATATAGGCCCTTATGTCCTTAAAGACTGGACAGTTCGGGAGACCCTCCTTTTTTTCCCCAAAGGGAAAAAGTAAAAAAAAAAAACAAAACAAAACAATGAAATAGCAAGGTAAGAAAAGTAGAAGTAAAACATTGGTCTCATAGGTGTGGAGCATGATTTCCCCCATAAATACATATACACACAGTGGGAAGAAGGAACATATCTAGGCTATGCACACAGAGGAAAACATATATAGGGGACACTCCTCAGGGACTGCTTCACCTCTGATGCTACGGTTCTGTTGATGGGTGGTGTCTCTGCACTTTCCTGTTGGATCTATTTGTCACTGGTCTCACCTGGTCTATTGTCTCTTCTGGGGGTTGTTCCCATTAGTTTCTTGTGGCCAATGTTCAGCATTGTTGTTATGGCCTCGTGTGGTTGCTGCCAGGTGAAGATGAACTAGGCATGAGGTTTTGAAGTAGCTCTCAGCCTCTAGTTTTAGGATTCAGCTGGAGGCCTCTAGTAGAGGTGATGCATCTTTCTTTTAAGAATATGAATTGGCTTTGAAATGATTCTTTTCAAGTCCAGAGACTTGTGTGCTACAACTTTAAAAAGGAAAAAAAAAACCTGACATATGGGACGAGGTAAAAACTCTCCAGTGATTTTTCCTTCCATATGAGTTATTTTCTTTTTGTAATTTCTTTGAGCCTCAGTTGAATATCTCCTCTTCAGAAGATTTTTTTTTTTTGCCCCTGGTCAAACTCTTTAGAAATGAATCAGAGCTACTCAAGCTAAGTAGTGCCTTTGGATGTAGTTCTATTTTTCTTAAACCTGCTATGCTTTAAACCCAAATGTAATTGAACAGCAGAGTGTCAGACACATAGTAGTATTTACTGCTTGCCAAGGGTAGGGACTCTCTTAGAGGGTTTAGTTTGACTTAGGATTAGAAATTCCTTATGGTTCCCCATTTAATTCCCAATTACTAAACTGTACTTAGTTAGCTGTCAGTCAGCAAAATTGCTTTATTTATTTGTTCATTTATCTATTTATCTAGCACCAGTTTTAGAGGTTGCCCTCCTAATGAACTGAGGGATGTTGGGTTTAGGTTCCTCAGTTTCAAAACTCTTTTCTTTTCCCCATTTAAATTAATTGGAGGAGGAAAAAAGGAGGAACTAAACTAAGCCCAGGGGCAAGGTCTTCCCCTAGCAGATTAATTTTTGATTTTTTATGTGTATACATGGCTGGTGCATAGCCTAGATATGTTCCCTCTTCCCACTGTATTTCCAGGTTTTAATTGCTCTGCTCTTACATGATCACCTTTCTGTACTCTGGTTTGTTTCGTCTCCGAATCACTGTCATATTAGAACTTTCACAGTTTGGACTCGTACTATCATTCCTATTTTCTTGGGTTCTTTCCATATGGATCCATCTTTCATACTAGAATTTTAGCTCTTTCAGGGAATGGAGAGTCTGATGATTAATTATTTGGCATGCTTTCCATCTATGACTGATTTTTGAGTAAGGAAAATCTGTGTGGCCAGTGTCCATTCCCTGAAGATGTCGTGGGATGGCTAAGATCTCTGAGCACTCGCAGCCAACACTTACATCATTTTCTATCACACTTCTCTTGTCACAAGTTAAACTTGCTGCCATGCCCAGAAGCAGCTACTTCCATGGTGTGTGATCTCTCATGAATGTGAAAATAAGTACGAACTCACCACATCCCACACATGGAAAGTCACATGTAGAAAGCTGGGTTTCTGGACACATAGCAAGAAATACTCACTGTTTTCTCCTGTCTTCATAAGATGATGAAATCACAGGGTTGAGAGAGACCATCTAGTCTCCCTGAATGGGAATCTCCTCTCCACCAGCCTTGAGAAGTCATACTAATGGTAGTGATACAACACTTGACATTTATATATGTACTTAAAAGTTTACTAAGTCTTTTACATACATGATTCTATTTGATCCTTAACACTAACCGATTAGATACATACTACAACTATTATTTCCCCAATTTTTCAACTCACACTTGAAAATTTCAGTTCTGAGGACTTCACCACCTTCTGACATTGCCCATTCTACTTTGAGATATCTTAAATTGTTAGGAGGAAGTTTTTCCTTAAGGTGAACTGAAATCTACTGCTTTCTAACTTCTGCTTTGTTCTGTTTTTGGGAGCCAAGTAAAACATGTCTAATCCCTCTGCCATGATGATTATTCAAATGCCTCCTTCTAGCTATTATTCATAATCCAGTGTGGTATAGTGGAAAGATCACTGGCTCTGGGGTCAGAAGGCCTGGGTTCAAATCTCACAGCACTTACTATTTGGGTGATTCTGGGCAAGTCATGTAATCTCCTGTCCCTTAAGTTTTCTTATCTATGAAATGATGGCAATTGAAGTCCCTCCCAACTTTAGATTTATGATTCTTTCATTCCCTTAAATTTTCTCTTCTCCAAGCTCATCATACCCAGTCCTTTAACTTGATCTTCCAATAGCATAGTTTCCAGGTTCCTTTCCATAACAACTGCCCCTCTTAGGACAGATTCCAGCTTGTCAATATTCTTTCTAATATGTGTGCACAGAACTGAGCAAAAACACCATAGCTGTGGTTTGACCAAGGCAGTGAACAGCAGGACTAGCACCTTGACAACTCTGGATAGAACATTTCTATTAATTCAGCATAAGAGCACATGAGCTTTTTTGGCTTCCATTTCTACTGTTGATTCATATTATGTTTACAATTCATTAAAAACTCCAGATCTTTTTTCACATGAACAAAGGTCTAGCCAAATATTTCCTATCTAGTATCTATATTATTTTTTTTAAGCCAAGTCTAAGACTTAATTGTTCTTGTTAAATTTCATATTATTATGTTTAATGAACTGTTCCGGTTTGTCAAGATCATTTTGGATTTTAGTTCTGTCATCCAATGTGTTAGTTACCATCTACAAATTTGATAAGCATGCCATCTACTTTGTCATTTATGTCACTGATAAAAATGTTGACCAGAAAAGAATAAAAATTAAAGACTTTTCCAGATGGCTACTTATTCATTAATCATCACTCATTGGGTGCTGTGATTCCTTCAGTTTTTAATTCACTTAAATTTATTATTTGACTTAATAGCAATCTGAGCAAACAGGGAAAAAGTGTATCACTTAATTTGAGCCCTTTAATAAATTTATTCAATTCTAAAAACCTAAGATTATGTTGAAAGACTACTATCTTCATAAACAAAAAGAAAATAATGAAAAAAATCAATATTCAACTCTTGATTCAAAATAATACTTAGTATAGCATCATATTCTTATTTGGTACTAGGAAAATAAAGGAAATATCATCATCATCATCATCATCATCACCATCCCCCCACTATCTCTCATAATTTAATTGCATAAAACAAATTGACTGCTGACTGAGTCCATGCCTGTAAGTCCATTTTAGGCATTGAGGCAATTTAATAGTAAGCATCTAAGTGAACAATCTAAGACTTTCCACTTCACTAATTTTAGTATATGAACCATAAAAATATCCATCAATACCAACTTTAATGTGGTTTTCTCCTACCATTTTCAAAATAAGTTGATATTCAATAAGATATTTCCAATCATATTATATTGCTATGTGGAAACTGTTAGTGAAAAGACAATAATGTAATGGCCTGTTGCACAAAACAATTGCATATGGAGTTTATGTTTCTACACTCAATTTGTAGGCCACAACACACGAATCTATGTTTTCTTTATTGACTGACATCTCAAGGCTCATTGACTTTGCTACCTCAATCACTGTTTAAAGGGATTTCCAGGTTTTAATGGGAACAAAGTCCAGAAAAATGGTACTGATGGTAATGATGATGGGGACCCAAAGGGAGAGGAGTGAGCAAGTAAAGAAATGCATTCTAGACAAGTTTAGGCATTTCTTTTCTCCAGCTGAAAGCTTTCAAAAAAGGAAGAAACTAAAAATAAAGTTAACTGGATCCTATTATTCAACTAACATTTAGATGGAAAGTCACTGAAAACTCAGGAATGTTGCTTTGTGAAAACAGTTCTGGACTCAGGGGAGCAATAGCATTGAAAGCCCATTAAAGGTAACTGCAAGATTTTGCATATTTCATTTACTAAGTGGTCACTGAACTTTGTTAGACAAGTAGAAAGACTGGACATCTACAACTTTGGGAAAATATGAAACATAACAAAATGATGCTTGGAGTCTGGAAAGACTTGAAAGAACTGGTTATTTGGGGGATAATTTTATGAAAATATAAATTTCTAGGACTCTTCTGAGTCAGAATAGTAATCACTTATTAGATTCATATGTACTTTCATATGTCAAAATAAAAAATATTCCACATGTTCAAATAGTAGTACTGTTAAAATATCCGCTTTGTTTTAATGCATCAAGTTCCCTTTAATTTGAAAGACCAACTCTAAAGTAAACTGTATTTTGATAAATTTAATGATTAGAAAAACATTTACAAGAACATCATGAACATGAACCAATTTACCCATGGAAATATGACAATTCTCTCCATCTAGTTCAATAATGTCAATTATAAGACTGAAAACTTGTTAAGACAGAATACAAATTCCTTATACACAAAAGAGTAAGTAGTATCAATGAAAATACATATAATTAGGATGTTAAACTTCCCAAAATTGTTATTAATAGATTTATAATTTCTTGCCAATAAAAATTGTCTTAAATTTATGAAATCATAAAATGTTTAAAACTAAAGAAATCGGTTTTAAAAACTCCCCCTTACAATTATATCAAGGGTTAAAGTTTTCTGGAGACCATACCACATGAGCCCAGGAACCTTTGCAAAAATTGTATTTTACTGATGGGGAGTAAGATAACTCCACCAGAAAGCTAAATTGCAAAACATGTATAGTAAAACAAATTAAATGCAGTACTCTAAAACTTTGTATCCAATTGGTAACATATAACCAGATATTCACAGACCTCTTGAAAAGAAACAGCTTGCCATATGTTTTGCATGTTGAAGTTTGAAAGATTAGTTGAAAGTTTTCGTCTTCCTTGTCCCACTTTCCCATCCATTGCTGAATTGCACTGGATAGCTTCGATGGGATACCCATTTTTTCTTAGCATTTCCTATCCCTGGAACAGCTATTACCTTAACTGAAAGGCAAAAATAATAGCATTAAGTATAAACCTTCATTTAACATGATCCAAGTAAAATCGGTTTGAAAAAATAATAATAAACATGATTAAGTCAACAGTATATACTTGGGGGTCATTGACATTTTTCATTTATTAGAAACATATTTTTGTTGTTTGGGAGTAAAATTATTTACTGAAGACTAGGTAGGATTTTTTATACCCATTTTAGTTGAAAAAAACAGTTACTTGAAAATGTAATCACTAAAAATAAGTGTTTCTTAGCTTCTATGCTTATTTTTATAAATAAAAACACCCTAATGATTGGATATTTATGAAATACGTAAACACTCTATTTTTTTTCTGAATTACATTATCATTGTTAGTTTTTTTAAAGTATGTATTTGAGTAAATTGGAGAAAATATTGCAAATTGCAACAACAATTACTAGAGATGGAAAATAAGATTTATGAGATCAGAGTTGAAAGAAGTCATATCCTCTTTACTCTGCAAGAGAAGATGGAAAGCTAATATTATATATATATATGCATACATATATATATACATATATATATATATACACACACACACACATAACTTCATAACGGCAATGAGTGAGATTAGTTGGTTTTCTATAGTCTTTTCCAGAGTCATGGTTTTATGAGGGAAAAAATAAATTTATCTTGCTCTGGGTATTAATATTTAATTTTCAACTTAGAAATTTCGGCATATTTTAATAAGTAAGTGGCTAAATAAAAGGCTCATAAACTTTAGACACTTAGGATGAATCATTGTCTAAATTCAAGTTTGGCACAAGTCTTTCCCTATTGCAATGTTCTTAAAAAAAATCCTAAGGAACTTGTTCAAGTCTCAATCCCACTAGACTTTGGGGACAGCAGGAGTGTCTGAGATCTGGGGTTTTATCTTGGCTCTGACACTTACTCCATGTGGAACCTTGGACAAGTCGTTTAACCACTCTTATTCATAATTTCCTTATCTGTAGAGAAAGGAGTTGAATTGGATGGCCAATTGGATGAATTGGATGAGGTCCCTTCCATCTCTCAATTTATGATCCTGTGATTTGGTCAGTCAGTGAATTTATTTACTCTATGGCTCTTGAAAAGAGCACATGAACTCCTCAAAGGTGAACAGATTCTACTTTTGGGCCATAGGCTCAGGCATACTGTCTTATCTGTCACCTCTACATTCCTGAAAGGAAGGCATAATAAAATCTGTTATTTTAGAGAAAAAGACTGAATGATGCACAGAGAGGTTAAATGCTTAAGGCGACTCAGTCTGTTAGAAATAGATCTTGATGACTTCACAATTGGCATTCATGTCAGAAATCCCAGCAGAGAGACTAACAATTAAACTAGATGGTGAATGAATTTGGCTTTCAGATGGGTAAGTCAGACCTGCCTACTGTAAATTTGCTCCTTGAAAATCAGTTAGGCAGTTTTAGAAACTATTAACCATTTCAAGCAACTGCAGTGTCAATCAGAGTACTGTTAATGACATTATTTTCTAGGTAATAAACAAATGGTCAAGAAGAGATAAGAGAATTTCCAAAAGGATTTATCTTACTCTAAGCATAAAACTGGCATCCTGTATTGAGTCATAGATGTTAAGAATCCAAAGGGATCTTAGAGATATCTAGCCTAACCCTTATTCAACACACCTCTTCCATCCAGGACAATGTGGTCATTCAGCCAGTATTTGAGTAATTCCAGCAATAAGCAGTCTCACTAACCAGTTCATTAGGTAGCCCTACTCCATTTTATGATTCAATATATATTTTTCATTAATAGATTGACACATATTTTTACTATTTGTTAATTTTGAAAATTTGTCTCAAGTAAGAACAAAAACATTTAGTCAATTATGCCACGAATAAACATACTCAGTTTTGTTTTCGAGAAAAGGTGTAGATGGAAAGGGTTGTTTCATAGAAAATCCATTGGGATATCATTTAGTATCCAGAAAAAAAGATGTTTTAAGTTAATAAATGAAAAAGTTAATAAAAGAACAAATGGTCACTCAGAAATATCCAACATTTTGGCATTTATTTTTTACCTTACAAAGAAGAGAGAATGGTGATGTTAGTGTAATGATCAGGATTTTTCTTTAATTAAGCAATGTATAGGTTTTTTGTAATTCCACTGCATATTCTAAGTCATGTGAACAATAGTTAGCATTTTAAAATATCTACTTCTATTCTGCAAAATGGGAATGAGTACTTGAAGCTCATATATGCTGGGTCTAACATGTCACCATGCTTTAAGGGCACAGAAAAAATTATTAATGCCTTCATTAATTAATAAACCTTTCTGAAAGTGAAAAAAACAAAACATTGTAGTATTTGGTGTATATTTGGAACATTTAAAATATGTATGTTTGGAAATAATGATTTTATGGTAAATTAACTTCACTTTGTTGGGAGATATTTTATAGTTAGTCAAATCCCTCCACCTAGCTTTATACTTTTGATGTTTACCAAAGAATTTCCATTTGTAACAAATTCCAATAAAAAAATTTCCTAATGGGGACGGGCTTTCTTTGTTATATTTTGTCTTTCAACTGAATCCTCAAGTCATTGTGTCCTTCCACACAATGTGACCCTATATTTAAGTGACAATCTGTAATCTTTTCAGAGCAAGTTGTAACTCCTTCTGCTAATATCAATAATTATACCTAAAAACAACTATTATGTGATATTACAGGCTGGCTCATTCATAACAGTCTCTAAATACATTTTTGCTAGAATGGAAATGTTTAAGGAAAATTAGCAGTCCACATGACATTTAAGATCAGATTGAACAAATACAGTATTTTTGAAAGAGTATTTTTTGTGTGTGATTAAAAAAGCCCATGGCGTTACTGTTTTGCTATTTGTATATAAACAATTTGACCACTCATCAATAAAGCATCTTCTTGCATTGTGTTCAGTGACATATTTTTGTTATTATAGAAATACTTCAAATTAATAGATACATAGAAAAATAAATTGTGGTGTAAAAACAACAGAATTGTGTGAAGTCATTACTATGTTCAATGATTACCTCTAAAATTGGAAAAAAATGTATAAAGGAGCAATTTAACACAGTCAATGTATAATTATTCTAACATTATTTATCCATCCAAGAATAAAATAGTAAGGGACTCAACCAAGAAAACAATTTGATATGAAAGATATCTCTACTGATAGCCTCTTGGAACAAAATTGCTAAAGTCCCTTTTTCCATTCTCTCAGACTATTGTCAGGCTACGTGAATCTCCAACAATCTTCTGAAGCATATTTTCAGGTGATCTTACAGAACAACCAACCAATCTTTTAAATATGTGCTGAAAGCATGTCTTGAAGTTTAGTTAAAATGCTCTCATTTTCAAGCATCCACTTCTTTGCTGTTTAATCTGTCTTCTGCTAAAGATTTGTTCTGGTCTCTTTTTGGTTAAATCCCTGGTTCTTTAACAAATGTCAAGGTCTACATATGCTGTGTTTTGATAAGTAATTTAATATGTAAAATGCTTTGAATGAAACTCCTGGTATGTATAAAAAAAACTTGGTTAAGCAGGTCATGATAGAAATTTCATGATGTATAGTAATACGTCATAGGATTTTCATTGATACATCCAACATTGTGTGTCTGGAGATATAATTTATTTCAAAGTCCTTCCCATATTGTATTACTTAACAGCAGATAGAGCATAAGTAAAGCATGGAGAAGAAATTCAACATTTTAATGAAAGTGACCAGAACGAATCTTTAGCAGCAAAGCGTTTACATCAATTTAAACTCTGTGAATGAGCTAGGTTTGCCAGGTTTGGGGTGAGGTAGAGATGGTAGGGGAAAGAATAGTGATTTTTACGCTGCTCCTTTCTGCATTTAAATGAGCTATACAACTTTTACTGAACCGGATGGATGATTCAAATATCATATACATTACCTTGTGATTTTTCTTGTTTTTAGTTGTTTTCATTATTTTAGATAGAAGTGAAATTTCAATTTTCATGATGTCTGTTACAAAACATACAATTAGACTTTGTGTTCTCTCTAGCCCCTAAGCACAGAGCTCTGTATATAGTGGGAATTTAGTAAACATTTAATAATTTGATGATGTTTGTTGATATAAAACAGAAGTGTGACTTTTACTAATTACCTTAGAAATTAGAGTAGGAAACATGAAAGCATTAGGAAATTTGTGATTTAATAAAAAGTTTTGTATTTCCTTAATTTCATAAAATATTTTTTTCTAGAAAAATAAACATATGTTGTTATATTTCCTGAATTTTGATGATTTCTTATAAAATATGTTGGTGACATGATGTTGTTTTATTATTAATGAATAATTTTTAAAAAATGCTTGCCAGGGGAGAAAGAATGTGAAAAAATATTTGATACAAAAATTAAGACATAATATAGAGAATGTAAAGCCTTACTTAAGAAGTACTCAGATTTCTGACACAGAATTTTGCCAATATGTTGTTTTTAGTTAATTCTTGATTCCACAATGGGTACTATCTATATTTGACAAATATAGTTTACTAGATTTCTCTGTGATAAGCATAATTTTCTATATGTTTGCAATTAAACTGATACTCCAAATTCCTCTTTTGGGGGTATGGCTAATTAATAACACGTTCATTTACTTTCATTGCTATATATACTTGGTGATTTCATTTCTCATGAGTTCAATAATTACTACTATGATTGCCAAGTTCATATTTCCATCCCTAGTTTCTTTCACTAGCCCAGTCTCTTATCACTAGTTATAAGCTGGACATCTCTAACTGAATGTTTCATAGAAACCTCAAATTCATCATGTCCAAAATGGAATTTCTAATTCTCCCTAAACTAACCTCTTCTCCAAATACCTCTGTTTCAGAAGAGGACATAATGATTTCTCCAGTCTCTCAGGTTTGGAACCTCAGAATCATCCTCAACACTGCCTTCTCCATCATCTCACATAATAATAGATGATAATCGCTAGCATTTATATAAAGCTTTGAGGTTCACAAATACA